CGGAACCTGTTTTCACTGAACGAACCCATAAGAAATAAGTGAACTGAAATAAAAAAAAAAAAAACAATGATGATCGTCATGCAAATTATCCATCTGATTTACCAAAAATTCCAATACTTGAAAATGTACAGAAATTTGTAATAAGAAGAAAGATGAAGACCTGAAGCGAAATCAAAATTTTGACAAAGAGTGAGAATTTTCAAAAATTCAATTGGAATTTCGGAATAGAAATGGAAATTAGTAGCTATACACCTGCAATGCAAAAATTGCAATTCCTTCATTATCGTAAGAGCCGGCGACCGAACGACTAGTATAACCGGGTGAAATAGCGATAAAGCATGCTGCAAACAGACCAGCACCTGGCGTCCAAAGTTCCTTCGTTAGAAAATATGTAGCTATTGCTGTGAGACCGCTGAAAATAATTCGAATGAATCACCGTAATAGGTAAAGCTATTTAATATCTTGTTTCCACGACATTCACTCATTCTCTAAAGGTTGAAAAAGCAAAAATTCCATTTAAAAAATCTTAGGGAAAGAATGACGTAAAAGTGATGTAAAGAAACAGAGTCAGTTTGCAATGCCAAAATCATTTCTGGCATATATTAAAAATAAAAGGTATGAATTTTTAGTAAAAGATCACTAGAAAATGAATCCAATTTAATATCAAAAGTGATTCGCCGAAAAGAAAAAATAAACCATACCTAAACGTCGGAGCAAGGAAAACACAAACATCTCTGATATGTACAGAAATATTTAGAGCTGCTAAAATGTAATGTATTGTTCCTGAAGTTACCATCAGTCCGGGATAAACCTGTGTTAATAACATCATTATTTTTGCAAAAGTAAAAAAGTGAGGAAAAAATTTATTTGGGAAAACAGCAGAATATTATTTCCAAACAAGATAATTTTTGTTGAAGTAACGATAGATTATGCCAGCTGGAAAGAAAAGAAATTAGAAAGTAGAATGACTATTTACTATAATGACATAAATTACACCAAAACTCATGTATTTAATTTGCGTATTTGATATGTACCTTTTACGTATTGATATACCCTTCTACACACATCTACTTCCTCACACTAACTAGTGAATTATTGACTTGGAAAGTACTTCCGCTAATTTCTATCAAGTGGTAACTATGTGGATAACAATAAGCTTAGTAAAATACTACGTAAACAGATGAGCCATGAACATCGAAGGGTAAAAACGTTAACTGATAAACCGATGAAGTTACAACTACATCAAATATTCTGGCAGTTATTAATTATTGCAAAACATTCCTTATTCGTTAAAACAAAGCCACAACTTACTGTGCCCCCAACAATTCGTCCAAGTGGATACCATGCCCGTTCATCGAACCAGTTTAAGAAATTATAAAAGCCATGTTCAACCATGTAATGCGTTGACCGATAGTTGAACCTGATATTCAGCCAAAATTGCATAACTAAATTGAAAGAAATCTCACATCTTTTACATCCCTCCACGAATTTCCGACGGTCCAAAAACCGCAAAATGCTATGTATATATGTATAGTCTTATCAAATCATCGTTTAAATTGTAACATGTGGTAATGTTTTTTTAATTTGCACCAACTCAAGAAAATATCTCAAGTAACCACAATCTAGCTTTTTTGGAGTCACGACCCGAATAAAAGGTTGATTTCCGAAGTTTAAATCAACAAATACATATTATTCAGTATATAAAATAAAAGGAACAAAAAAAAGACGACAAAAGATGGATAAATAAGAACGAACCATGGGTCGAATTCATGAATGATAGATTCAAATCGAATAACAGCAAATAATCTTGAAGCAAAGCCAACAAGCCATGCTAATACAAGGATGACAAACGTCAATAAGCTAGTAATGCCCAGTGAATTTGACGCCAACATTTTGCTACTTCCGTTCGAACCGGTTGAAGTCATCACTGAATCAGTCATGTGTCTAAAATCACAACATGAAAATGCCTCGACATCAAAAATTCCGGAAAAATCCAATCTTAACAATGTAATCTGTCACGTTGAACCTATTTCTAAAAAAAAACCCCCGCCCTACTCACAAGTACCTCATGACATCCGACTCATAACAACCTGACAGTCCGCATACGTTACGAAAAATATGGCCGGCATTGACAGTGATTTTTGCGTTACGAAAAATGTTAATCTCAGCTTCGTTTGTGTCTATTTGCTAAGCTATGATAAATTCGCACCGTCGGCAACCGGATCCGCCTGCATGCATATGTTTCGTAATCGGATCCGCTTGTACACATGTGCTTCTCAACCGAGTCCGTTTGCATACATATGCTACGGAAAATTCACATCCCATTAAGCAATCTTATTGCGTGTGTTATACAAATATATCAACTATTTAGCAAAGGATCCGTTTTAGTACTGATCCGTTTGTTTTCCTGTTTTGTAGACCGTTTTCGTTTCGATTTTTGCCTTTGTTTTCAACAATAAACTGCTAACGTTAAACCTTAATTACTGCTATATACTTTGTATTACAGTCGGAAGAGAAAAAGAGGGACCGAAAATTGATCAAAATTTACGATAATTTTATTTATAACCAAAAAGAATCCTCAAATTTATGTTTTCCGTTCTTGTCATTGGAAAGAGAAATTCTTTGATAAGAATTTAACCCCAATTTGAACTAATGCTAAATCAATTGGTTTGTTAAATGAGAAAAAAGAAATTAATAATGAATGATGGTAGGAAATGGTGAATACTAATCAATATGGGAGATAATTGAAATGAATTAGATAATGATATAGGTTAGATTAGGTTAGCTTAGATGAGGTTTAAATGATATAATGAAATATGTTCACTGATTGACAAAATCGAATTTAATTCTAATCTTCCTTTTATTCATTCCTTTTTTTGAAAGAAAAAACAAATTTTGCCTGCAACATTACAGTTTCAACTAATTATTTATTGCTTTAAAAAAATTGTCATTAAGGTTCGCATTTTGTGTTTACACTTACTGTGTTTTATGCCATTTTGAACGATTGTTTAATTGGCAAAATAGCTTAATCTCCAGGGAATCATTCTTGACCATATTGACAATTTTTCTCCCTTTTTATCTATTCTTTAAAAGAAAAAAAAAGAAAAATAAACGATGGACCAATCTACGATTGTGTTGGCAAAATCCGTCAACCCTTGTCGCTGATATCGCGAGTAGAAACAAGGGAACAATAATCCCCCTTTTTTTTGAAAGCCAGACATCTTTGTTTTATATGCTCATATCGTCTTACGTTTGCACTAACAAAGAACCTAATACCAATGGGTGCTCCATAACGAAGCTAATTCTTGTAATCATAAAACAGTACAAGGATCCTCCCAGTCGAAGAAGCGGAGGGTCCTGAGCACTAATCCGTTTTTACAAATGTGTTTCATTGAGGTCGGTTGGATATAAGTATGGGGCGTGATTTGTCTTTTTTGTTCTTGTGTATTCGTTATTAATTTGTTGTATCAATGTCATATTTGCAAGTTCGTTGTTATATCAATAAATTTATCGTAATAAAAGGTTTAATTACCCAAGTTTGAGGTACTATCAACTAAAGTAGCAGAAAAAATCCTCAGTTTTTGTTACGACTAAAGAAAATCGGCGACAAAATTTGGTCCAACCAACCCGATTCGAACCACCGACCTAAGGATTCGATTAAGAAAGAAGCGAGTAAGTCTTGTTCAATCAAGAAAGAAGCGAAAAATAATTCTTATTCGCATTAGCTCATAACAAAGCTTGAAAGTTCGACCGGAAAAAAATTGGAATGCAGTTAAGTTTTGAAAAAATGCAGTTATTGAATTTTGAAAAGGGAAAAAACTCAACTTTTAAATCTACAGAACGGTATTCCCAAATGAAATGATTCCCTCTAAATTATATTACGTTCAGTTGGATTATAAATCAGTATAGTTCCTAATCATTCAATAATGGTGGCGAATAATCAATTAAAATAAGCACACAATTTTCCGTTAATCTGCCAATGTTTGGTATTTGTAGTTCTTGATGGATTGATAACAGGACTTATTTATCATGAGAATATCTGTAATTTCTATAACTGCTTTATCTGTAAATAATTACAATAGGTGGTTGGGTAATTAATAACTGATAAAATGATGACTGATTTTCCCACATTCTTTGTCAACAAGAAGCCTTTCCAAATCGCCGACATCGAACTCAAGGAAGGGTATTTTTCAGCCACCAGTGAATTGCACAGATTATTCAAACATCGACAGGTAATCTTTTGAAATTCAAGTTCATATATCAACAAGGCTTGTAACCTGACGAAGTCGTCAGGAAATGATCCCGTATTTTTAATTTGGCATTTGTTTCTCATGATAATTACTTCATATCTTTAAACAAGGAATGAAACATGATCTTCAGTATTTTATGGCAAAGAGTTTTAAGGTCATATGAGTTCTGCAGAGCAATACTCCAGCAATCTCGAGAGTTTTTCAGCAAATTCAAAAAATCCCCTGCTTCCCCACAAAAAATATTCTGATGCCTTTTTTCTTTTTTCCTGAGAAAATCCTAAAGCTTATACAATTCTCCTTGCACGTTATTCGAATTTGCAAAAGATAAATCTTTATTTCTTCTGCACTGTACCCTTTATATATGCGATTTCCATGCAAATCAACGCGGAAATAGTTTGCAAAATAAAACGTGCAACACACAATGGAAAGATATTCGAAAATTATCAAAACAGTCATTATTATCTGTCAATCATTATTACCTGTCAGTCACTATCACCTGTCGGTCATGATTACCTATTATTTCAATCTACTAAGGCTGAATCATACTAAAACTGCCGAGTAAAAAAGATGGATAAAGGTAGCTTAGCAACGAAAAAAATGTAGAAAGCTGCAAATTTCCCAATAAGCTGATTATTTTACCAGTTAGGCTTTAAAAAATGATTAACAAAGTAGTTCCTCCGCTTTTAATTAAATGCGTAATTGTAGAAAGGAAAAGCAAAATTAGACCCGAAAGTCCATCATTATTACGTGTTATTCTAACTCATCGATTATATCTTTCAACGAACGAACAGCATGTTCCTTATTATTACAAGATACTCCATCTGGATTTAATAGAGCAGCCCTTGCACCCGCCTTCCTCGCACCGTTGAAATCTTTCTCTTCGTCATCACCTACATGAAGCATATCCTCCATTTGACTAATTTGAAAGTATTTCGCAGCTTTTTCGAAAATTTGCTTATTTGGTTTTTCCATACCTATTTCCCCGCTTAAAAGTAATATTTCGAAATAGGACGATAGCTTTAAACCTTTCAGAATATCCCTAAGACGTCGGTCAAAATTCGATATTACACCTAATCGAATTTTTCGACTTTGTAACTCCTTCAAATGATCATGGACCTGTAAATAAATCCGTTAAGAAAATATGTATTCCAAATTTTCGAGTTAAGTTTGACAATTTTAAAATTGACAGGGAGCTCTCGGTTTAATATCACAACTAGATAAATTTCTTGATAAATGATAAATGCTGAGTTTTTTGAGAAATGTTAGATGAATGCTGAATATGACCGTACATCGCGACTTCCTAAATGAAAGCTCGCGATGTCGGCAGTTGAACCGTTCTGTTCTAGCTTAACATTCTACTGAACCATATTAGGTAGTTCCTATTTCGAAATAATGCCATCAAAAGCACCGATATTCAGGTGATAACAAGATATCCCAGAAACACTATACCTTTCATCAGATGAGCTTTTTTCTCGTCGGTTAAATACCTAGATTCAAATATGATAAATAAAAGATTAATCGATACCTGATTGTCAACTAATCTCCACGGTTTCACGGAACCGTAATAAACAAAAAGCTTATGCGCTAGTTTATCTAGCTCAGCACTTTTCTTACCAATCTGTAAGGGAGAAAAGTAAAATTTTTGCAAAATACATTAAAAAATTCCAAAAACACACGTGGAATCTACTAAACCACATCATAACCGCAACATTTTTACTGTTTTTACTCTGAAGTCTCAATTCGGAAGGAGAACAAATGAAGCGGTAAAAAGATTTTTTTTTTATGAACACACAAAATAACAAGATTGACTAATATGACTAAGGTTCATTAATGTTTAGCATTCAATCGACAGGCATAACAGGCTTCGAATAACCCTCCAAAATAATATCTCATGAAAATTATAGCAATTTTAGCTGCTCCAACTGACGGTACGAACCTATGGTTACTAAATAATAAATTTATTAAAAAAAAGTAACATAATGAAAGGAAACTTTAGCTAACATCTGCGAAGCAGTTTTTCACGAGCTCAATCCACCATGCCATTTCACCATCTTTCCCAAATCCATAACACAATTTTTGTTTCGACAAATTTTTGAAATTCCGTCGAAATGCTTTATTTAATTCATCGGCATTGCATTGAATATTGACATGCTTGGCAAAATCAGCATATGTATGTCCTGGCGATTGCTCTAAACTGCAATATGATTTGAATTTAACTGTTTGTTTTGCTAAGATGATGAAGAAGAAGCTGTGGCTTGTGATCCGAAAAGCTTAATTCACAATAAAAAAGCTTTTCAAAGCTTTTAAAGCTTTTCAGCTTAATTCACAATCCTTTATAATAGCTAAACAATGCAAATATAGACAATCATAATGTTGGTCATTATTAAAATTCGACGATGAAATAATTCTTCCTTCGAAATGTTATGTAAATAAGAACTCTTTATCTAACGCAGCTGTCAAGTAAATAAATGAATAAATGAGTGAGCAAATATATGAACAAATAAACAAATAAACAAACAAATGAGTAAATAAGTTAAGAGACAGATGGACGAATTAATTAGTTAAATAAATAGGCATAAATGTATATATATAATGAAATCAAATAAACACAAACAGACAAACAAATAAATACATGATTAATTAATTGATTTGTTTACTTGTTCATTGCATCTAATTATTTATTTAGTGTACGTGTAATACGCTTATCAGATTAAACGATAATACCAACATATAAGAATAGGTTATCCATATTTCATACCGAATTAGCGTATTTAGCGCATCCAGCGTTATGACACGGATACCCTGGAACATTCTACCACTTGATGAAGTGAATCGCTGGTTAGCATTTGATGAAAAGCCTTCCGTAAAACGTGAGCTAACCTTTAGCATCTTCTACGTATCACTCATGTACTGGAAAAAAATTTCTCATTGATATATTATTTAAATCTTTCTATAGGTCATTTACCCATACTTGTCAATTCAGATGTCTTTCCTGACAAACGAATGATGAAAGAATGATAAAAATGATAAAAGGAATGACTTTAATGGATGATAAAGGGCTAAAAAACTAATTTCCAAATTTTATCCCACAGCCAGGAATCAGATCCGGTTCCGTCTCACTAAATATGAGTTGCATCTTTTTCAGGAAACTTTAATATATTTCCGGTTTTCACTATTACTAATTATCTCTGACACTTTCAACAAACGAATGCCAAGGAGTTTCACGTCGATATTTCCAACTGGAAGCTTTCTGTTTTCCGCTCATTATTTGACGAAGTAAGCTGTAGTTTGGAGAGAGATAAAAGATTGATAAAGACATGAAAGAGTAATGTTTAGTGATTGGAAGAGAAAGAGAGCAGCAGGCAAATGATAGAAAAAGTAAGTAATTTGTTAGACAACATAGGACGAGGAATCGCGAAAATTTGGAAACAATTATAATCCATAAATAGAAGTAAATGAAAAGCAAAAGGGTGCGATAAATTTGGAGAGTACTGTGACTAAAAAGATATCGAAGTACTACGTTGCCAGAAAGCGAATATGCACAAAAAGAGTATTGCGACGACAGTAAAGAATGAGAGCATAGTGAAACGGAGAAGAGAATATGAAATGGAATTCAAGGACAATAGTTCGAGTTGCGATAATCTTAATGCTTGTCAGGAAATGTATGTATGGGAATGTTCGGTGATTTTTTCCATTTGTTTTGATGTTCTGATTTCCGGAGTTGATCCTGAAATTATTCCGGTTATTTTTGTTGTCGACTGTTTTCATGATTAATTTATAATGTATTTTCATTAGCCCTATTGATGATTACTTGGTTTTCCTTTATTTTCTGTAATGTTTACTTTCTTTAACTGATATGCTTTTCTGGTGAAATATGATACAGAATTGATCTTTTACTGGTATTAATAACTAGTCTCATCGCTATTTAAATCACATGTAATTATTGCTTGTGATGAATTTATTAAATATTCCTATTTCATATAATTATCGTTTGTCATAAGTAACATTCTTGTTCGTACTTGCAATTCACTTGATTATAATTTATTTCAGTCGGAAAATGTCCAGTCAAGAATCGGTTGAAGGGTCATCATCAATAGTTGTATTTAGGAGCCGTAAAGGTGCAGGAGGAAGTACAACATCAAGAAGGAAACGTATTTCCGGAGCGTCAGATTCATCAAATGACGCTGAAGATAAGAATGAGGTGGTGAAATATGTCGATGGACGAAAGAGAAGGAAAAATCCGATGATACAGTCGGTTTGTTTTCGAATAAATGATGAGTACCTCCTGTCAGTTTCAGTCACTTTTTCCCTAAACCATTTTCGTTTTTTTTTTTTATTATTCTTTTTCCCGTCATTGCTTTGAGGAAACTTTTCATTTAAAACATCGCAAAGTTGTTTTTTTCTTTTTTTTTCAACAATTGGTTTACTTTTATGAAGCACTCCAAAAGGTTTCTTTTAATTTTCCCTTGTAAAAAATCGGGAAAAAGTAAAGGAAAGTGTCAAAAAAATTGTAGTTTTTTAGACAATCAGCAAGAAGGTCCAGAAAGCATCGGAATCCACGTCAGACAGCACATCATCATCTTCGGGTGAAGACGAATTAATTCAGGATGATCCGTTGCGTGTCACCTTTGCGTCGAGTGGAACAGAACGTGCTGGACCATCAGATATGGGTGCAACGGCAATCAGTGAGATTGATACTGATGTGAAGAGCGATGCTCAGGCTCAATTTGAACGAGTACAGCAAATTTTGAAAGAGGAACGGGATGATAAGGTACATCGAAAATTTGATTTCGTCATTTCATTTCAAAGATTTTAAAATCCGAATATTCTTTTGATAGTTTATTATAGTCTATCTCAATGCTCGCAAATTTGGTAAATTAGTTCGAAACTCTGCTTATAGATGCTTAACAGAGCCGCATAATGGTATAGAGTTATGTCCTGGTGTTATTTTTACGAATTTAACAAGTAGTCCAAAAACTGGACCTATATTTGAATACAATTTATGCGGCAGTCTGTCATAAGCAGCATTAATTTAACGGTTTTCGGATTTATATTTTAGGTATATCGCGGTGCGGCGCTTTATGGAGCAAAGGAGAAAAAAGATACGGTTTGGGGAAATGCTTCATCAGGACTTAATCGATTTGGGCCTATCAGAGCACCGAATTTTTTGAGACAGTCAGTAAGATGGGATTTTGCACCAGACATTTGCAAGGATTATAAGGAAACTGGATTTTGCACATTCGGAGGTTAGTTCTAGCTTATTTTCTTAGATATTACCATTAAGATTATTGCTGTCACAATGTCAGATTAAACTTATCTCTTCTTCCATCCTCCATTTTTGATGATACAACTTTTTATTCAAATTCAAAACAAATTTTAAGGCATGATGTTAAAAGGTCGATTGAAATACCCGTTTGGTCAACTTTACTTTACAATTACTTAACTCAATTATGAAACTTTTGTATTAGGATTACAAATCTAGAAATTTTCTTCACAGTTACCAAAATGGTGCAACGCTTAGTTTTCTAAATTTTTTAGTAATTGAAATTTCGATGTTATTATGGATGAAAGTTTTTTCGGTGTTTATAGCCATTCATAGTCACTATTCCATTATTTTTTATTTTTTTCTTTGTTAGTTTTTCTTGAAGCAATTTACTGTCAGTTGAAAATAGCATCCTTTGAAAGTGTTCTATTTTATAGATTCTTGTAAATTTCTGCACGACCGTACTGATTACAAACATGGCTGGGAAATTGAACGTGATTATACTGCCGGTAGGATGAAAGAGGATGACGAAGACAAGTATCGGATAAGTAGTGAGGATGAGAAGGAAGAAGAGAGTGAACTACCATTCAAGTGTTTCATCTGTCGACAGTCATTTGTCAATCCAGTCGTTACGAAGTAAGTATTGAATCGAATCGATCATCAGGTCTAAACGTGATTTGCTTTTTTTTTTTTAAATTTTGTCTTAAAAATGTTACAAATATACACAGGAATCCTTTGTTTTCATCAACTTTTTTAAAGATGCAAGCATTATTTTTGTGAAAAATGTGCATTGGGACACTTCCAAAAGACGTCGAAATGTTACATATGCGAGCAGAATACGATGGGAATTTTCAAGGTTGCCAAAGGTAACAATGCTTTAAAAGCAAATTTAAAACGGTTTAATTGAAGACAGATTTTTGACATTAAATTTTTCATTTATAGAGTTTTTCAAGCCAAGAAGTTTAAAGCATTTGTGCTCAAATTACTTCTTCGTGTCGTTTAGATTTGATTGTTAAACTGAAAGAAGATGAGGAGAATCAAAAAGATGATTCAAAAAATAATGACGAGGGCGAAGAAAATGAAGCAAAAGGTGGTGGAACGGATTTAAATACCGAGTGAATTAATTACAAACTTTCATACGATACTTGATATTTTTTTAATATTCAGAATATCTGTTTTCATCAACTTTATCGTTAAATTTTTTTTTGGGCAGTCATATGTTTCATTTGAAAAATTGATTTGCTGACTGATTTCCTTAATCATTTGAAAGAAAAGGTTTGTTATGTTTGTTATTTTGGCTATTTTTCTCGAATTTTTCAGTGTATATGTGCGTGTTTTTTTATTTGTTGTATGAAAAAAGATTTTATCAAAATTCGTTTTTGTACTTTGTTACTTTACAAATCCTTATTTATTTCTGCATATGATATCATTTTTTTTTTTAGTGATAAATATCATTAAAATGTATCGTGTGTTGTTTATGATTTGTTTTGTCTTTTATTTTTACAGTTTTTAGGCTTTTAATTCTCTCATTAAAGTTAAAATGATTTGGAATTTTTCGAAATATCACCACTTTTGTCTTACGCATTATGAAAATTACATATACATGCAAATGTGTATATCAAGAGAGGGAAGGGGAAAAGAGCAAAAAATTGGAATAGACGAAAATTTTTCAATAATTCGTTTTAAAATTTTATGGTTGGTTGTAAATCATTGGCTGCTGATCATATAAATGTCGTTGTTCATCATATGCTAACAGTTTGCTCGAATGGCATAACCCTAACTTTTTATTGTCGACTGTTTCGCGGTGAAAAGTAATACTATCATTTTTGTTAAACAAATAATAATATCTAGCAGTTTATTAAACCAGCAAATTGTTTGCCTTTCATTTTCTTTTCTCCCCTGCATTATGATTTAATAAAATGTAACCTATACATTACAATTATTATCTAATTTTGTTAATCAGTTAGAACTAGGATTAAATGACAACTTATTGAAACTATATTTATCTAAGAAAGTTATCCAAACCATTTCATAAATGCCTCACATAATCAGCCGATATTTACATCATCAAGAAGTGTCAGCTGTTCGAGAATATATGTTTATCGATCATTAATGAAACAGCAACGGATGTGTTAAACTGGTCGCTTTAATCCTTTAATTTTTATCTCATATTATTCATTGCAGTTTGTTTACAATTCTCGTTGTTAGCATTCATATATCATATGCAAATGATAACTTATTATTTCTTCAAGATTATTGAAAATCATCATTAATACAATAATTCAATACAATAATTCAATACAATAATTCAATGACTAATAATACAATAATTCAATGACTTAATTACTCGTATTTTAAGGAAATTTAAATTACCCGTCTCCTGACTCATCTCCTTGACTCCTCCTAATTTTATTTAATCCTTTAAAAAGGATTCTTTTTGGCATAATTAAGGTAATACGATTAAAATTTTTTCCACTGTTCTCAGTTAAATATTAATATGCATCCCAACTTGCCAACTTTTTTGATTCCATTTAATTTTCATGTTTAAATTGAAATTTTATCATTTATATTTATGACCTTTGAAATATGCGATATTCAAAATTATCGGAATGTTTTGCATAATTTATCTCGCAATGAACACTAAATGCATTATCAGTTTAGTAATGCATTTCAAAAGTGAAAGTGAAAATTTTTGAAATGATTGAATGGAAATGGAAAAAGAAATGAACATTTCTTTCTGATTGTTACAACTATTAATGGTAAGTAATAGAATCATAACTATCCTAATTAAAGATATCAATTATGATGAAAGTGGTGGAATTTTGTTACTTTTGAATTGCATTTCATCATCGGATCCGGAACGATTAATCGCTTGATTATGATAATTCAAATTTAGCTTAAGAATGTTTCATACCTCATGTCCTGCTACTTTTTATCAATATATATATATATATATATGTATATGTGCATTATATTTGAATCGTGTAAGAAAGCTTTTTAAATTAAGTGTAACTTCAGTTTATTAATAATTGGAATTTAAAATCAATAGTAATTTGAGTAAACACCGTTCATAAGATATTATTCACTTTGATCAAATAATTTGTCAGTTTCCCGTTAATTGTCGTCAATTAGTCATCGTTAATTAATTTTTTAAACTTTCATGCCATCATAACGACATCAATCAAAATGAATGCAATTATCATTCGTAATGAATCATCAAAAAAATCTATGCATATGATTCATTCTATTGCTTTTTTTTCATCTATAATGAACTTTCTCTTTTTTGTTTGTAATTAATGTTCCAATAAAGCTACATAAGTCAGTAATAAAGTTAACTTGACTTGTTGTACTTTTGATGAAAGTATCTACAATGAACAATCTGATAACTTGGTGAGACCGGGAATGCTAATGCTTGATAAGTTGGTGAGACCGGGAATGCTAATGCTTGACTATATCCGATTTACGGTTATGCTATTGCCAAAAATAAACTTTGCTAAGTAATTACATATCATTTCGCACTTTACCGATTTATTATAAAATATATGCATGGAGGCGGAAATTTGAAATTTAATTTTAATGGTAATTGTGAATTGTTTTTGATCGTCAATTATTTTTATTTTCGAATAGAAAAAGAATTGGCAGCAAAATGAAAGCATAACTGCGTATTAAATCTAAGAGCAAAATTTACGTACTGAATTGATTTGCAAATCAATAATTTAAAGTTATATTGAAAATGAGACAATCATTTGTGTTTAAGCTTTGATAACAATTAATGTTATATGCTATTTGTTCACACTAAATGATTATTATCAGTAAATGATATGTGCTCAATGAAATTCACCTTATCACCAACGATTTATCATTTAGTTCGATACAATGAAGCTGTGCAGTCATCTGTCATTGCTATCATTACTACTGTTAACACTAATAATTTCAATAATTCCTATTTGTCAAAGTTGTCTTCTATGTTATTTTCGTCTTCCAACAAGGCCTAAATCAATCGATTATTTATGGCCAACAGTTTTGGATGACATTAATTTCCCGGAAACAGCAGCTGAAATGTGTGAGGTCACTCAGCGTTTGCCATTTACAACTAATTGTCGTAACGGTTTAGCTAAAATTTTCTGCTCATTATCTAATTTCTTGGATTATAATTGGCAAGAATGTAATTTGGAAAGTGTTGGATACGAAGAATGTATGGACTGTGCACGGAATAAGACGAATATTATACGTCAAACTTCATGGGTTATTACTTGTAAGTTTTTAATGATTTCATTTTTAATATTTATTATTTTAACTTTGAAAAAATGACATTTTGCTCGTTTCTCATTTGTTTGTTCCAAAAAATTAAATTGTTTCAAAGCTTAATTTGAATTTTTCAACGAATATATTTGGATTTTTAGAAAATATTTTAATTTGCTAAAATTTCACAAGAAAAGGTTTCAATTCTTGTTTGGAAGTTATTCATATAACAAATATTTCTATTGCCTCGCTTATCAACAAGCTAACAATTTTTTCTCCCACATTGGATATTACTCTTTTTGTCCTTTCTTGGAATATTGTAAAATCTGAAAATGGATTACACCTTAGGATGAATTGATTTAACCATAAGAATGATAGCAAGATGATAATTTCAATTAATTGATAATTAAATTAATAATCACGGTTATTGATTAATTAGTTATAACATGTATCGTACAACTGATAACTTCTAAAAAAACGTTCACATATATTTTGTTGATTTACTTTTCATTTAAAAAAAAAGATGTGAAAAAAAGTGTTTATTGAATTATACGTTGTTTAAATTGTTCATCAAAAAAAAAAAGGCTAATGATGAGAAATTTAGAAATATTTGATAATTAAATTTATAACAAATCATTAAATGGAAATGGTTTTTGTATAAAAAATTTTTGATCTTCACACAAATTCAAATGCTTTTTAAATTACAGGGTTGGATTCACTTGGTAAGATGCCGCCAGCTGTAAGTGAAGGAAATTATTATTGGTTGGGTGATTACGAACAGTGTTCAGTCTTACGACAGTTTGTTTACTTCTTTTTTTTTCAAGCTTTTCACATTTATAACTTTTTTTTTTAAATAAAGCGAAACAAAAGTTGCATATTCTATTTGATATTATCAATTAATTGATAAGTTTTCAAATTGATAATATTAATTAACAATTTCCAGTTCGCTAGGAAAGGATGAATGAAAAAGCAATTTAGTGATTGGATGCATTCTGATAAATGCATTTCAATGCTATAGAAATATTTCAGGCCTAAGCTTATTAAAGTGTATTTTTTGCTGAGTTTAAATTAACTAATTAGTATTAGAATCTTTTAGATTATGTTACTATTAAGTACTTTTTTTTGTTTGTTTTTTGTTTCTAATTAACTCAATATCGTTTTCTTCGTTGTTCCATACTTAGAACAAATGCATTTGATGGTCGTTACTGTCGAATTCTTTTGGAAATTCCGGATGCCGAAACGTATCGATACTGTCCGCAATCGAATACTTTGAATATTCATCTAGGCTTATGCGCTCCATCGATGTGTACACCACAAGAAATTACCCAATTAGCTCAAAGTAAATTGAAGAAGTTTGATTAGAATTCGAAAACTTCCATCAATTAGTACTAATTAATTTGTCATCTGAACTATTCATATTTGCACACAGTAGCAAAGATTTAGCATCTTTTTTTCTCGAACCTTCTTTTAGAATCAAATTTTGTCATTAAAATATATTATCAGTAAAAATATTTGTTAAAATAGATTTTACTGAGAAAATTTTTTCTTCTCGCATAATCAATAAAAATTTAGTGGTGACACCATATGCGACAAGTGCAGAATGTGAAACACCTCTTGACTGGCCACTTTCATCACGAGTTTTTCTGTAATTTTGTTTCATTTTTTAAGTTTGAACTTTTACACCTTAAGAATCTTGACCTTTCTGTATACAAATAAAGTTTTGCCAAGTTTATTATTTAACTTGAAAAAACTTATCCGTTTTCAAATCTCTTCTGATTTCATCATAATATTTGCATATAAATCCAGCGATGAAATTTGACCTATATCCTTCCTACCATTCTCTAAACTTTAAGAAAATTGATTTTTTTTTCCCTCTTTTTAGTTTGTAAAATTGGTAAAACATTATTAACAAAATATTTTACAGCGGTGAAAATTCATTCTTTTAATTTTTTTAATTTTAATTCGATAGTCTCTAAAAAATTAATTTCTTAATTTCCAACCATTCCTTTTATTTTACATTTCATTTTCTTAATGCATTTTATTGCATAATACTAAATTTTATAGTAAGAAAAATGCTGCCATTTATCTTCTTAATTTATTTTTCTTTTCTTTTTTTGAAAAAGGAAGGAAGAAAATGGTTAAAAAAGTTCATTAAATTAAGCATTCACAATGTTAACATTAAGACGAACAAATTATAATTATAAATTTTCAACTTTCATACATTTGAAAAAAATATTTTCTATTCCTTATTATAGAAATTAGAAAAATTTGCATAGGTATGGGAGCAAATAAATTATTGTAAATTCTTTTTATCAATAAAAAAGCAAAAATAAAGAGGAAGGAAAACGATTAATAATTCGTATCATTTATCACATTGTTAATCAAATTATCAAAATGATACCATTATGATATGATTGATTATTTTTAGAATTGCATTCGTTTTTTGGTTGTGCTTGTTATTCACTGGCACTCTTATTGATGTATACAATTTGAATTTTTTAACAAATAAGCAAATTAAAGTATGAATTTTATTAATTTTTAAATTTCAACTTTATTTATATTTTTTATAAATTTTTGTAAAAACAAAAAAAGTTTGTAATTAATAGTTTTTTTTATTACTAAAAACATTTCAATATGTCATAATGTAATGTTAGAATGAAAAAATAATGAAACAAAAAAAAGTTTAATAATTAAAAATTTGAAAATTACAGGCAATTGCTCAGTGTTTATCGATTCCTCGAAATGGTAATATAGCACTAAGTACGAAACGTTCACATAATTATCATTCTATCCAAGGCTTGGAAGTTATCACTGTATCAGTTATTGTTACAGCTAATTGCTTCATTTATATTCTACCGTATATTGGTATTCTCATGTTTATTTATCTTTTTTTTTTTTTTAATTTAAATTCTCATATACTTCCGAATTCTGTTGAAAAGGAAAAAAGTACCTAATTTTATCCATTATTATTTTTTACCAAAAATTATATTTTGGCTTACTTTCATTTATAATTTTGGCTTGCCTGTCCTTTTTTTTTTTATAAATCTTGGCTTCCTTATATTCGCTCACTTTAGCCTTCTTATGTTTGTGTACTCTAGTCTACTTATATCTATGAATTTTTTGGCCTATTTGTTTTTTTTCTAAAACCAGGCTTACTTATATTTATAAATTTACGAACCATAACTTATTCATTTGTTTACTTCCATATTTTTTTGATATTCCTATATTTCAAAAAACTTTCCTCAACATTGTTTTGAATTAAATACCTTTTTTTTTAAAAAAAAATGAACCAATGATGTTATCAGAAGCGAGAATTAAATTTTTTTTTTGAAATTTAATAAACAAAAGAGCAATTTCAGAAAACGTCTTATTCTCATATGAAAGTGTCTATAGCTGGCAACTCCATCCATTAAATAATTTCACTTATCACATTGATGGCCTAATTGCTGTTGATACCTTACTTACGTCATTATTAGTACGACACATGCTTGAAACGACGAATGATATCAAAAAGCTATATTTTAATCGGCTATTACAGTTTGTACTGATTTTCCATATTTTTATGTTTCGCAAAATTTCTAAAATTATTTCTTAAATTCACTAATTAAACTAGTCAGCATTATTTTTTCCATAAATTTAATTAAAAACATTATTAACAATTTTCATACCAATTAGTAATATTTCTTTTTCTTAACAAAATTTCAAAACATATTAAAAAGTTATCACTTTTCTAGCTATTTAATGTATTTTATAAATTTATTGATTTAACGATTAACAGTCATATTTCGGAAATATATTTAGGTAAGAAAAATTTGGAATAACTAAAAATCTACCTTTAATTAGTCGACTATTCCTGTAACTCTAAAGTTTAGTCTGTTATATTCTACATACTTGACGTAAAACACTTTCTAGCGTACTTCCGGTATTTGCATTCACAATCCTGTTTATGACATTCTTATATGAACGTTTGTCATCTGGGCCAATATGGATGCATAATGATTTAATCAGACGTTGCAAGGATTCATGGTGGAAAAATATTTTGTTTATCAATAATTTTTTTTCATCCCATCAAACGGTATTATTCATTTAAAGAAAAAAATCTAATTCAAAGTTTCGAAACTTTTTCAAATTTCAATTTTAATGAATTATTTTCAACCTATAATGCAGAAATGAGCAATTAGTCATCTAATATTGTAAAGAACTTGTAAGATATCCAAAATTTATTTGTAAGTTTTGCAATTTGAATTAGCCAACAAGAATTTAATAAATTTTAATTTCTCTTAGTAGTACTTTAATCTGGCTTGAAACAATCCACAGTAATTGCAAGTGCTCTGTTAAATAAAACGATTAACATTGCTTCACTTTTGTCATTTCTTCAATTTGATGACAAATTTTGGAATGAATTAAGCAAAAGTAAAGTTAGAATTTTTTTTTTGAGGTGATTATTGATGGGATTATTAGGAAGTTGATCACTGGTAAGTTATTAAATTAATGATAGGAACAGTTAGATGATAAAGTAATAAGTGACACATAAGTTGTAATTACTAATCAGATGACAATTATAGTGCTTGGATGGAGGCTATCTATACTCGTTGACCATGCAGTTCTTCTTATTACTTTTGCCAATGCTTTACATATCCAAGCGTTACTATACGGCGATGTTAGCTGTCGCTGTATCAAGTTTTTTTGCTTCAATCATTTACACATTTTATGAAATGTCAACTATGAAAATGTCACCAACTTTATTGCTCACAGCTAATCCAATACCGTAAGCTTCAAAAGAGTTGTTTTTTTTCTCATAATGAATTGAATAATTTTTGAAGTTCCAAATTTTAGAAAAAACGATACAAATATTTTAAAAAAATGAAAAAGTGATATTATTTCAGAAATTTTGAATGAAAATTTCAAGTACTTTTGAAAGAATATTTACAATGAAAAATTATTGAGTTTTTCTGTTCGAAATTTAACAAACTTACTTTTAATTGGTGTATTTTTTAATCCTAAATATGGCTACCTTTTTTTTTTTTTTCTTAAAATTTTTAGTCCTGAAATTTATAACGCATACACCGATTTGTTATATACAAAACCATGGGCTCGTGCACCAGCATTTCTTATTGGTTTCTTATTCTCTTTCCTATTTACTGATCAACCATCGATCAGTAATGTAAGTTTTTGGCCAATTTAAATAAGTTGAAAATTTCACGAAATATTTACAGTAGTAAACATTTGAAATTAACCACTATCTGAAATTATTATTGCCACAGTAGTAAGTATAATTATTGGCAATAAATAAGCCTTATTGTTATAGCAATAAAAATATAATTTCGTTATTGTTATACAATCAGAATAAATAACCCATTTTATTATAGCAACAGATAATAAAACTTATTGTTATAGCAATACAACATGCATAGAACTTTTGATTAATTTTTTTTTTTTTTTTTGAATTAGTAGCTAAGCATAAGTCTAAGCAAGAAAAGAAATAAACAAAATAACATTTAAGGATGGCATTGGAGATAACAAAATAAAAGAAGAGGCAGTAGTAATTGTTGATTTTGCTTAAATAAAATCAAAATTTTCTAATAATAATTAAGGAAATACCAAAAACAGAAATATTTCCAATTACAAATACCAATACAAAATAACAAATTTCAAAAAATATAAATTGAAATTTCAGAGTTTACTATGGCTTGCTCCTTTCCTACTTCTTTTCTTTGGTATATTTGTCATTTTTGGTCTCTATCCATATGCTATCGGAAATTTAATCTCACAAATTTTCCTTTCTACATATTCAGCACTTCATCGACCTCTTTGGGCGTTTGTTATTTGTTCGATGGTTTACTTACGCTATCGAAATCGTAACATCGGTATTCTTTATTATTTAAAAAAGGAAAAAAAAAGTTTGCTTTATGTCGTTTTAAATTTGTTTGTTATATTTATTTGCATATTTTTAAATTTATTCGCAATTATTACACATTTTTTTGCATATTTTTACGCATTTAAGAAAAAACAAAGAACAAAAATGCTATTGAAAATTTCAGGTAAACTTTTAAAATTTCTTGAATGGCGAATATTTTCACCATTTGCAAAAAATATTTTTGTGGTATTTCTAATATCAGAACCCGTATCATTGTATCTTTTCTCATCATTACATCGGCCATTACATGCTACTGTTTGGTCATTGGTAAGTTAAACGAATTGCAATCATATATCGGTAAAGATATGGAGTGAATTGTAAATTAAAATTAATTTTTTCATTTTACAAATGCAACTAAATGAAATTACCATCATCTCTTCTTATCCTGCGAATGTAATTAGAATGAAATTAATTTGTCATGAAGGAATTTTATGAACATTCTAATTTAAAGCATACAATTTTATAGCTTAATATTGCCACTGGAACGATTATTTTATCAAATTTCGTAGCATTTTTATTGGACATATTGATTTCGATGCCAATACAAAATATCGTATTCGAATTGTTAAAGGATGAGAATTCTGATACATCAATTTATACTGGTGGTATTCACAGTTCACTGATTAGTGATATAGAAAAAGGTATCAAATGAAATTGGTCCAAAATGCTTAATGAAGCTAATTAGCATTCAAATGTTGCTAAGATTATCTACATTAATTGTTATTGTATTCTTGATATTATTGATATTATTTGCATGAAAATTTCAATGCATTATTTTCATCCTTAAAATTCTACCTAAATTTTTTTATAAGCTTTAAGCTAAGACACATATAGCTGTTTATCAACTGATAATAAAGAGCTGATTGAATAAATTATTTAAAAAATAAATTTCAATTAAAAGGGATAAAACTGTGCCATAAATTGGTTTAGCTCTAATAATCAATTTATATTTCGATGCAAAAAAAGGAAGAAAAACCTGCAAATCAATTGGAATTATAATGAAATTAACACATAATAAAAGAAAAGAGAAGAAAACCAGCCAATTATCAATTATTCAGATGCAGTATTTCGATCATTGAGTACCACTATTAATTTGTTGCATGTCATGAAATTGGGATTGGACTTATGAATGTAAAAATCAATTGAGCCTGAAAATATCAACAGCAATTTAAAGTTAAATAAATAAGAATTGCTGATTTTCTTTTTTTTTCGTTACAATTCACAATCTTAATTTGTAATTTGTATATTTATCACAAAGGATTATTTCTCTTATGCATACAGATTCACTGAAAATATCCAATTTAAAAACAAAAAATATATGGAATTACGAAGTTTAATTTTATAAACTGTATAAAATTTCTATTTTAATTAAAGCCACCTGTCTGTTTACCTGTTTATTTCACCCTTTTTGTTATTCCTCGTCGTTAAAAAGTTACTTTTGGTGATTTCAACATTGGCAATGGTTGACTGTGTGCGGCTAACCGTGTTTGATTCAAAATTAGCAAAATTGTATTCCGAAGGATATTGATGATATTTCAGGATTAATACCGAAATATATGTCACCAAAATAGTTAGGATGACAGTATACTGATAAAATTTATAAATCAAATACTCATATGTAGTGTTCAATTCCAACCCCAAACTAATCCAAAACATTTTCCAAAATTTTTGAAAAATGAATAAACCTAAAAAATATTATATTAGAAGCATTTATTGTTTTGCTATAAAATATTAGCACAAAAAGAAGGTGAAAAAGAAATGAAATGGAAAAAAACGCTTTTCAATTAGCAATTTAAATAAATTGAAATTTTTTTTTTCAAAAAGAGAAACAAAGGGAATAAGAGAAAGAGAGAAAAAGGGAGAGAGAAAGAGAAAGAGAGAGAGGGAAAAGAGTAACAGCTTGATTGTATATTCTAAAAATAACCATTAAAAATGAATCCTTCCGCTTTGCTTCAACAACAACTGACTATTTATTTGATAACTCTGTTGACAGATGAAATGATGAAAATAGTGTATGTATGGATATGGAATACATATCTGTTCAACAATAACAATAATAATAACAGTAGTACTTGTGAGAAGAAAAGGAAAACAGCTGTGTAAAGGAATTATGATCAAATAAATGATCAATTTGTTTGATATTTTATTCTAAAAAAGAGATTGACTAATAATTTTCTAATTTATCGTTTTATTTTTGAAATTGTTCAGAAATTTAATTTGTCATTATTAACATAGTAATACTTCTTTCCAAATCAGTGAAGAACTTTTTTTTTTCTTTTCAGATTCATTCAATGTCATCAGTGAAAGGTTACTTTAAGATAATCAAAGTACATCCATTTCATTTCACTCTCACAGAGTAATAATAATAACAATAAATTGTGAATGCAATGGAAAAATTAAGTGCAAATGAAGGAGCGTCAATTGATGAAACGAAACGGAACGGGATGGAATTGTAAAGAAGGGAAAGTGGACGATGTCATTTTTGGTCCTTGGAAAAAATGTCATTCCTCTCAGCGTCATCAAAATTAAAACTTGCCTTTGGCTTGGGAAAATTTCAGCATGAGAACTGTGTTCTTTACTGTTCCTTTTTCAGCCACACATATTTCCTTCCATCCATCCGTTTGTCCGACTTCTTAAATGAATAAATGAAAAGTTTATCATATCTGTCCGCATATTTCTACGACAATAAAATGCAAATTCAATTCTACAAGTTCATAAATTTACAAATTTATTCAATCGTAGTTGCCATTTCATTTATTTTCAAATTTCAAAACTCAATCAGCTAAGAGAAATGAAAAATTAGACAATCAATAATTTATTCACAATTTGGGGCAAAAGTTTTTCTGAATCCTTCTGATCAATCAGTTTACAATAAAAACGGATGCTTCCAAAATCTTCGAACAGTATTTAAGATTTTATGGGAAAACCGATCATTGGCAGTTTTCGCATTCTTTTTTATTTCCTATCAAATCTCACTTTTCAATCCACAATTTAATCGTTTACAACTAATAATTCAAATGTTTAATTCTTTATTTTATAAATTATGAAATTCAGAGGCGACATTTAGCTTATCTGTTGACTGTTTCAAAAACATTAACCATTTGTTAGGGAAGATGATATTGAATATCCGTTCCGCAAAAGCACTCAATCTTTAACTAAGTTAATTTTGTCTACAACGATAGCATTACCATTAAGTATCATAAAAAGACGATTACAATTAGAAAAGATTTCCTTTACTATAACTTGATGATAATCGAAATTTCTTGTTAAAATACATTTTGCATAGGTGTTATTAACTCTTATTACACCTTATACTCCATCATCAAATGACACATATACAAATTTGATTGGTTGAGGACAAAAAAAATCATTGAATGAAGATTGGAAACCTAAAATTATACGTTCATTTCTTCAATGAATGGGTTATCACGTAGATTTGAATTGGAAATGGTACCTTTCACATCTTTTAAAGTAATAAATATATTCTTACTCTTTCCATTTTATTCGTATGATAACAGTCCGAATTGATTTCAATTCTTTTTTTTTCGTTCTCTTTTCTTTTCAATTGTTTTAACTTTCTTTAATTACTTCCAATATTAAGTATTTAAATAACGAATAACTTTAACAGTTATAATAACATTTGAAATATTTCTAAATCATACAGTTCATTTCAATTCCTATAAGTAATTGCAACCAAAGTTTCAATAAATTGTAGCAATTTTATATGTGTACTGGAAAAATTGTTAAATATTAATAATATTAATATTAGTAACACTTGAATATTGGTAACACTTCAATTTTATTTATATTGTCTCAATTTTTAATTTTAGTTTTTGTGACAAATAGAATTATACAAAATTGTGAAAATCAATTTTATCAGATAAATTTTCTTTTCATTTTTCCTTTTTTGCTTACAAAGATTTTATTGTTAATGTTAAATGGTTTTTCAACAAGCTAATTAATTAATTAATTATTTCATTTGTTATTGTTTGTCCTTTTTGCCTAAATTTGAATTTTTTTTTAATGAAATTGAACTATAAAATATTGTAAAATAGGTTAAGAGAAGTGAGTCAGAGGATGGGAAGATGAAAGGTTATATATAAATAATATTTAAATATGCATACCCTTAGCGTCCAAAATAAAACGATCAATAAGTTATAGCTGGTGGGAAT